ACGGGTGCGGTGAAGGTATGGAGGAAACATAATGACTATGTGGGGAAAATCAAGCCGAATGACTTCTATATAGACGTCTACTTGTGCTACATGGGATGGGGGTAGTGCTTCGACACTTCCGACTTCTCATCTCATTGAAGAAAGGAGCAGTAGAAACTCAAAAACTGACGATGTTTGGGCTGTTAAAAAGCTATTGTAGAGCAGTACAATCGGAAGTGTGCTGCTGTATGCGCTAGAAAGGTGAGCGTAAGATGCATCCCTTTTAGGGACGATGACTCTTTAGAATGTTTCAATAGACGTCATGCAATGAGTAGCTAGCCAGGACGGCCTTCTATCTGAAGGCTACTTATTGTAGCCAAGAATTCTAAGCTTTAAACCAACATTGTAATTGCTTTCGGGTACGTATGAATTCTCGCTTCGATTATGACGAGATGCAATACTGTTATCATTGTTACAATTAACTAATACCAGGATCCGCCACCTTCCTGCTACCAAATTAGTCGCATGGTGACAAATCTGCCTGTGATCCACAAGGGCTACGACTGCCCCTGGTGGTGAAGACCTGGGACAGACTTTCGCCAGGTTGACCTCGGGATTCCAGGGAACCACAATGGCTGAACCATCAAATCTCCGAAAAAATGGAAATTATGCTGCGGCCTGTACAACTAGTGAGGACGGGCCATTCAAGTTTCAACTATGAAGTAAGTATAGTCAATAGTTACTACTATTAAGTTATATGATGGGGAATATTGTACGTGCACATTGTAAATAGTGCATTGTATTTTGTAACATAAATGTAAAAGCATTTCATTTCTTGAGGCATTTCTGAGTCTCTCCACTGGGCAGTTTATCTATGCTACACACTAACTCCTGCAGCAGTAGTCTCTTGTCGACAAATGATCTTGTCCAGAAGAGGTTTTTGTAAATCACTAAGTGTAGAGAATAGTTTTTCACTAGCCACTAAAGCTGATGGATCGATGTCAGACAAACTACAGCTGGAGAACAAAAACTGCAGTAAAAAACCTCTGTAAACATAGTGGAATGCGGTTAGACACAGCCTAATGGGTGTGGCGACAAGCTTCATATTACTTCTGTCATAGCTTAAAACAAAAGAGAAAGAAGCATACTGTAATGAAAAACTGCACATATCCCTCCAGACGTCTGAAGTTATGTCCGCCAATGACTTGGAGAAATCAATCTAATCGTCCACTTTGAAAATCCACGATTTCCAACGTTTTTTACGCTATGTAGATGTCTTTCTCCTTACAGACGAAGGTTTACAACACGCTTTAAGAAATTGCGTCTTAGGACCGGACAGACTACTTCGGCCATAAGTACGCGGTCTGTTATCGATGGAGGAGCACCTTCCCAAATTCCATTTAAAAAAATAACCTTTGTATTCAAGCGCGAACGAATGGACTTGCGTCACATACCTGACAGCTCGGCGCTGAACAGTACTGCCTTGTACTGCTCGACAAGGCGAGCGATGTCGAGCCGTTCGTCGACCTTCACTCGGAGGCTCTTGCTCATCTGGAGGTTCCCGGTCGACAGTAACGAGACTTCTACAAACGACAGCGAATTGGTGAGAGTGAATGGGATCAAGTGATGGATTTTTGATCGCTTCCAGGGAAGCGAAGTATTGGGAGGGAGAAAAAAAGAGGATTGTAGCTGCCAGAAGAAACACACCTCGCAATTGTCGGCTATTGATCGATTAGTTTGCTGCGCCCATCGCAGCCGTCGAGCTCTGTGGTGCCTCCGTGTTTCGTTTGCTATCTCCTCTCAACGCCATGCTCTCAACGATCGATTGCCTCGACATATTTCGACAGGTTATTGATCAGAATGACTTCGCACAAACCGTTCACCAGGAATATATGATTAACTCCAATCAGACTTGAGGCCTGAGAATCGACGACGTCGGCGATATCCCCTCGGCCTGGATTGCGGAATTTGAAATTCACTTTTCTACAACGGCGGTCTCCTACAATCAGTTTGAGGCTAAGACTGATTGATTAAAGTGAAGTATGGCTAGAAACCAAGGTAGGTTACGTCAGCTCTTTGTCTTCTAATGCCGTGCTTGGCATATCTTCGTTACTATGAGGTCTTTCCCATTTCTTTCTGAATGAAAAGATCGCTCGGAACGTGGAGCTGACTTTCACGTTCTGGGAAATCCATGATAACTTTATGCTTATAGTGGTGCAGTATTCCTGACAACATAGTGCTTTTATTATACAATAACATTCAAAGTAGTGGTTGTACATTAGGAGTGGAAAGAATAAGGGCAATCTTCTAAAGGCTTATCGTCGTTCATTTCCGGTTTCTATTCACAGCGGCCATGAAAGCCTTAGTGAGTTAAAAAATGAATAGAATTCCTAGAGGTCCTATAGGAGGATTCCCATATGTTAAAGATGCACCGTAATTTCCTATAGTTGAAGTGTTTGAGTGGATTACACTCTTCTCTTATGAGATCTACACAGAGACCTTTTCATGAGGACGACGATGGGCAAAAGCTGATCGGACATCGGCCTTCACAATCCACTTGTCCTAAAAAGTGATTATCCAATGTCATTTTCGGTTGTACTCTCCGGGGAGGATCGGGTAGTATTGTGCTGTTGACCGCCAACATAAGGGAATACCGGGAGATTGGGGAGGAAGCAAAGGAAGGGAAGACGCATTTAGAGAAGGTCAAGCAAAAAAAAAACGGTGATATCCAGGAAAAATAGAAGGAAAAAAAAACAAACGAAAGATGGACAGAGGACAAAAAGTTGTTTACAAGAAATGGTTACCACGAGAAATAAACAATTGTCTCGATTTTACAAAACTGACTTTGGTATATTCTTGATTCGAAAACTTTGAAAGGATAATTAAATAAAGTGCCCGGAATAAATCAATGTTTGTGACATGAAATTGCTCATGTAAAGAATTGGAATTTCTTTGATTCAAAAGGCGTTTACAGATATCACCATGGAAACCCTTGCACTCATTCCCTGGCCAGGGTTACCGCGCCATTCGCTAGATTTGCCCTGCAAGCCTCCGCACCACCCTTCCTTCGCTCCCCTCCATTGCCATCAACTTTTCCGAGTATTTCAGTTTCTTCTGTTAATGTTCTTGATGATAGGTCGTGAGTTTCTCGATTCAATGTTGTCGAACCACAGGCGTTCCATTTTCGGATTTCCTACAAATTATCGAAAAAACGCTATCAAATTAGTCCACCACTCAACATATATCGACCGAAACTGGTTCTTCGACAGTAGACGATGATTCCACGATCGCTAGAGTAGCGTCGAGTAGGACGTGAAGACTCTGCGGATTTATGGAAAGGAGTTAACTTCATCGCTTTAATAGTACACATAATTTCTATATACCAGTCCTTAAACTTTAAATATGTTTTAGATTTTAGTTGTTCAAATTTGCAGCCTGGAGCTTGAGGAGAAAAACTGGGAAACAACCTTCCATGGGCTCCAGAAAATCAGAATTTTTTGTTGGTCTAATAAGAGAACAGATATCCTGTTAGTAAACTGTAATCGACTTTACTAGAACTAGTGGTACTGAGTAGAAGTTCAGATATAACGTTTCAAAGTTGAAAACCTTATGAAATGCACTACATGCAAGTGAAAGGATAGAATTTTTGGTGAATAAATTTCAACATCCGAGTAGGTATTCTTTCAGCTCTCTTTCAGCATCACTAATGATCTTTTATCCATAAGAGTTGTATTTTAAGTAAATTGTGCTCTTTCCAGCAAGTAATTTGTGGACATGACGCCGGAGGACCGTCGTACCCTTAGTGAACTGGATAGCCGCATAGCCGTCTTGGGGAGGAGGCTGAAGAACGCAAAGGCCTCCAGGGTAATAAATCCTGCAGAAGATTTTTTAAAGCAGGAAATAGCGCCGAATGTTTGACAATTGAACACAATCGAAGATTTTATGTACAGGAACACACAGTGGTTTCCCAATGCTCAGTTTAGAAACATTTGGAGAAGTACCGAAACTGCATAAATTCTCTTTCACGGAGCAAAAATAACTAGTAGTTCATTCATATCATCTGTATCACCCGGGAATAACTCAAAGAGGTAGTACTACAGTCTTCATTTTTAGCAAAACTCCGAAGCACAGGTGTCTGCGGCGGAGAACGAACGCGCTATTCTCCTTTACGGGGTGTAGTGCGTTCACCACCACACCATGCGGGTCCTTTGTCTCGCGTGTCTCTCAGCTAGTTTTCTATCAATCAATACCCTGCTATGAAAAATTGTGGAAGGAAGCAAATATATGTTAACATTGTGATTTCAACTGCAGTCTCAGCTTAACTGTTTTCAACTCCAATTTGGGCTACTCAGATCAAACCCGTTCACGGGTGATTGAGGAGGGCACTGATCGACAGGGAACTAACTGAGAGACAGGAAAAACGAAGGACCCGCATGCTGTGATGATGAACACGTTAGCCCTCGGAAAGGGTAACACCGCGTTCGTTCCTCACCGCAGACCCTGCGGGCCGAAATTTGGCAACTATCTCACCACCATTGTCGTTGTATTTCGCATAGTACTCTGCCACGAATAATTGTTGAAAGCAGCAAAGAAAAAGTTGATATACCCATTTTTTGTTTTTTTTTTTCTGTGTGAGTATGAAGGTATGATCTTTGCTGTATAGCAGAGAGCTAATACGTCGAAACTACCCAAGTCTTAGCAGGAGTTTAAGAGTGCCTTCGGGCTGCTTATGAACCTAATTCGCAATCTATGGACGCGTCACGTAGCATTCTGTATAATCTACTGGAGATAAAGTACATAAAGGGATCCGCTGCAATATATGTAGCAACTGACCTAACTAACTGTAGAGACCTTCAGGACTCGTACGTTGATTTCTTGAAGTCGAAATATCCTATGTGGATTTTCTCACTGACAACAAATAGGATGTATGTGAGTGAACAGATCGGCTTCGGATGTTTGTCAACAAGTTTTTGCTAAAACTTCGTTCTTTCAGAAAACAGATGATTTAGTCATCAACCAATTGGCTACATCCGATTACAACTGGGACGAAGAGTGGGACAGAAGAACGAAGATAAGACAATCACCTGGCAAACCTCGACTTCACGAAGAGATTCCTAATAGGTACAGTAGCCAAAACATTGGCTGGATAAAATTAATTACGCAATCTTGAGAAACTTTCAGTAAGCGATTACTTGCTTCGAGTCCGATAAAGCAGCGCACTAATTTATACCGTTCACTCGCAGATTAATGATGCTATAATAAATTTTAGACCACGTATAGCACAGGGTATAAAGGTGCCCTACAACACACGAGTGATCGCTAGTTCGATCCTGCGCCGTGATAAACTATGCTTCACATAGTCACAAGTTTTCTCTTTCTACTATAACAAAATTTTGATTTCCTTGAAGAATACGAAATATTTTCAATCTTTGCACAGGGGCTGCGAATTTCGTGGAGCAAAACGCGATTGCACATCCGAATGCGTTGTTGATATTTGCGGCAGATGTATTTACCTTAGAAATTTCAGAATTTCCAATTTTAGCAAATGTCTTGGCAGTTTGAATTCTAAGCCGATTTAGATATGTGAAAAAAGCATTTTGGAGGAACATATTTACTATTTCTCAATTCCCAAGTACTGTAGGTATTCAAGAGTTATCAGCAAATGTAGAACAACGAGTTCCGTACTCCAAATATTCATGAAGTTCCAGTGGTCCGCTTCTCAAGTCTGATGTGGCCCGCGTTCGCCATCGCCTAACTGACATCGCCCGCCAGCTAAGAGCATTGCGAGAAACTAGGCTTAATCTGAGCACTGAGGACTATTTAAGGACCCGAGTCCAGCTCGCAGGTCAGTTATATATTTTTGGAGATTTCTGTTGACGGTTACTTAACACAATTCTTCCCTTTCGTTATTAATTTTTCGAAAAGAAAATACTAACGTACTTGAAAAATGTCACCAGTGTCACGTCACCTCAAAATGTCATGAAAGCTCTAAGAAAGAATAAATCTCTCGGCATTCATCAATCCCTGATGGATGCACCATGCATTCAACGTCATTAAGCATCGTTGGAGGTGACTGAATGTATATCTGGACTTTGCAATGCCTTTACAATGGGATGGAAGGCTTAGTGGGCCACTGGTGAGAGAGAAGCCACTAGAGAGAAACATCACTGAGGTGCTCCTCTGTTATCCTAATATCCAACTGACTAGGAAGAAGTACAAATTCTCCGCCTTTTTCACTAATAGAAAGTCTAATAGATTTTGAATTCAAAAACTCTCTAACCTGGCGCATACCACATTTTTGTTGGTGTATGAGGTAGGAGCTTCTTTTTCGTTTTTGGTACTGATTAAGTATGCGGGGAATTTCGTCCGAAAATAACCGAAATGTAGGGTCAAAATCGCTATTTGGTAGCTCTTGTTTAAAGAATGTTCGGGGAAAGGGTATTGGTGGTAGTTCCCCCCTTGGTACTACTTTACCTAACCTTTCTAGCCTAACCCTGTAACGTAGCTGATTTTGAAGTTCATGTAGACTACACGTGATCCTGCGCAGAATTGGTTTAGAAATGGGTTGACTAGGTGCAAAACTCGGACCCAATTCTAACAAGGAACGCACATTTTCCGGAAGCGTTATATAGCACAGTAACTCTGGATGTTTTCGAGTTTATTAATTCTCTAATTTCTCGCATGCCACATTTTTGTGCGGCTGTAAGGTTAGAGATAAACTTTCTATCGCGGTAGTGATTAAGGGTCTTGAGAACGCCGTCCGAAAACATGCGGAAGCCATCTTCGAGCTTTTTGTTGAACATGGAGGAAGAACAAATATGCATGGCTTGTCCATCCAACAGCTAATAGCTCCCTTAAAGGAGTGCCTAAACTGCTCGATTTTCAGATGGTCTGGGAAATATTTCGCGCAAATAAGGAGGTTGGCGATGGGACAGCGATTGGAACCAAGCCTTGCAATTGTATTTATGTCTAAGATAGAAGTCCTGTTCTTGATCTCCGGCCACTACTCTACTGAAGATATGTAGATGATTGTTTTGTCGTCTTCTCTAGGCAAGAGGAGATGGACAAACGCTTTGAATTATTGAACGAGCAGTCTAAGTACATAAAGTTCACCCGGTTGAAACGGTTGAAACCAAGAAAAAGCTGGCTTCCGTTTTTAAACGTTCAAATAAACCTATCAAGTAGCGGTTACCTGACAAAGTGGTACCGAAAGCCAAGTAACAAGAACATCCTCGTTCATTTCCTTTCTTCCCACCCTTCACACACAAAGAAGGCGCTTGTGAGAAACATGTTTCGAACAGCCACCTCTGTATGCACTACCAGGGAACTAAAGGAAGAGTCGCACGACTTGGCTCGGCAAACAGCCATCTCAAATGGCTACGAAATAGTAACCCAACGAGATAAGTTTAGAAGGAGAGCGACGCGCCCAAGCGGAACATTTGGCCAAAAGAAAGTCCCGTTCATTTGCCTTTTATTAGCGATGAAGTAAGCGTAGCTAAGGATAACGATGCTTAAAAAGAGCAGGTCTAGAGGAATCGGTAGCGATAGTTGAAAGACCAACGGCTACTCTACGTCGCCAATCAGTTCGCAACCGCCTGTATGACCGTCTATGTGAAACAACAAATTGCGTAATTTGCCCTTACGGCAGGGACGGTGGTTGCATGAGTTCAGGTACGATAAACCTGATATCTTGTAATAATTGCGGAGATGAATATATTGGCGAAACGGGCACACCTTTTTATCCTTATAAAAGAACACCTAGATGGCAAACGAAAACTAAAACAAAGTACCCCACTAGGCACGCACAGTATACAAAAGCATAACGGAGACGATTTTGAAGTAAAAGTCAATATCCTTGCACAGGAGTCCAAAACACCAGCGCGAAAACTTCTTGAGGCTTTTTGGATAAATGCCAAAAACCCTACAATGAATGGCAGGAAGGAATGCCCAGAGGTCATACGCGACCTGATCCCGTATGTTCGCATCGAATTTTGATGTGCGATGGTGCAGTCGTCAACCACATGCGACTATAATCAGCTGTTTTAAACTTTCTCATTGGAAGTCACGTAAAAAGCGATGAATTTTTCCAGAAGCTGTTGATCATGTAATTACCATAGAGTTTTTAATCGTCTTTTTGTAAGTGTTATTGAAGCGTTTGGCCTAGTAGATTGTATATCAGTATACCCTTCCAGGCTCTGAAGAAGGCGATAGTGCCGAAACGTCAACTAGTGTTGTATTGTATTGTTTTTTTTATGGAAGTAAATGCATGCTATTTAAAAACCTCGCGATTGCTGAACAAGAAAACGACACATTCATATTCTAATGCCGAGGTTAATAGAAAGTCGACCCTGGTAACTATCTCTGAATTGTGCGATTCCATTGGGTAAAACGATTTTAGAATGTCATCTAAAAAGACGACGACAATTGAGCAACTGCACCAAAAACGTCTTGTGAGACTCCAACCATAAAAAAATAAAGAGTAAAGCTCTTGGCGTTGATCAATCCCTGAGGAATGCTCCGCGCATCCCACTTCATTAGGCGTCGTTGGAGGTGACAGAATGCATATCTGGCCTTTACAATGACTCGCGGTGGTCCTCCGATGTATCGAGCCAGTGCTGGTACCCTTCTAGACAAGTCTGGTACCAATTTACCGACCCTGGAAGGATGGAAGGCTTAGTGAGCCACGTGGGCCGAGTTCGATCTCAGCAATGTATTGCAGGATGCCTCTGACCACTGTGCCACACGCGCCATACCACCGTTATTGTCTAGTGGTAAAGAGTTGCTGGCTATGGTAGCTGTTTACCAATGGGGATTACTAAGTAATTGGAACAATTCTTCAATCGGAAACTACTTTTTACATAATTGCGAGTTTGATATTTCGAATTCAGAACACCTGAATGATAACGATGACATCCTTCTGGCAGTTCGAAATCGTCTTAGTAACATCTCCTTGACGTCGTTCGGAGCACTGGAGACACCAACCGCAGAGAAAATTTCTGTGATGAAGCATGACGAGCAACGTGATGCGTACATTGCAGGTCAGTTAATAATATGACTGATACATGGATAATTGGATAGTTCATTTTCTACACACGTACGGACTTCGTACGCATTTTCTTTTCGTATCTTCAAGTCACAATCATGTTCGACCACATTGATGATGGTCTAAAAGCCATAGAGCTTTTAACATCTTTAGTCTATTCTAGCGTTGTTTTCGTCCTGCTGTCGTCTATTGTTCTCGTTACCTCGTTACACAACTACCTCATCTATGCACCGTATGTCATTGATAGGTTAACACGAGGTTGTTAACGAAGATTTATTTGGTTTTCGTTGTCTTCGTCTTCATCAGAGTCAAATGATCCAAGTCGATGAGTTGAGCAAATGATAGCAACCTCGTGGTAGCTTATCACGAAGTACGGAACATTTATCATCCATAGCTTGAGGTTTTTTGTTTGAGGTTTTCGTTTTTTCTTTAGGTCTTTTTTGAGGTAAATTGAAAGCCGGCTTACAACGATATAGCCCATGTATTTCGCTTTATTTTACTAGACAACCTTCCACGGTATGAACTGTATGGTTCGGCTTGGTATGGTACATACAAGACTCATACTTCTGAAGACATCTTTCATCCGCTGTGTGGGTGGTACTCTAGTTTTGGGTGGACGTGACTCAGATGTTAACTCAAGTCTCATTTGCATATCAGAGCGTCAGGAGAATTGTTCAGTCAGAAATACTCGTGGCTTTCGACTAATCAGTTGATCGTTAGATTCTGTACCAGATCTCAACGCTGCCTGTGCTGTTCTCGTTCTTCTGCAGTCTTCGTCTTGCTTCATGTCGATTTCCATGCTTTTACTGAACACCGTATGTTCACGGACGATTAGGAAATTCATTTAAAGTTGTTTTCTATTTCATCATAGCTTTTTCATAAACTTGATTTTCATTCGTTTGCAATAATGCCACTCTCTTATTTCGTCGGGCTCCTTGATCACCGTCTGTTTTATTACTTGTTCATTTAGAATATATATTAATGTATTATATACGATTTTATTTTAGACTAACTATAATTGTTTGTATTAATTTATTATTATTAATTAATTGGTTAATTGATTATTATCTATTATTTATTTTCTACTTTTATTCGTTATTCATTTTATTCATTGTTCATCCATTTACTGTTTTATTTATGATCATTCATTTATTTGTTTATTACTCATGTATATTTATTATTTATACTACTTACTATTTATTCACTGTATTTATACTGTCCTCAGAATTCTTGCTGAGCTATGTTTATTATTTATTAATTATGTTAGTATTATTATATTATTACTACAATAATAGTGTTAAATTATGCTATCAAAATTGATACTATTGTTATTGGTTCCCAGGATCGACTTTCTATTAACCTCGGCATTGGAATATGAATGTGTCGTTTTCTTGTTCAGCAATCTCGAGGTTTTTAAACAGCATACATTTACTTCCATAGAAAAACACAATACAATACAACGCTAGCTGACGTTTCGGCAGTATCGCCTTCTTCAGAGCCTGGAAGGGTGTACGGATATGCAGTCTACTAGGCCAAACACTTCAATAACACTTACAAAAAGACGATTAAAAACTCTATGGTAATTACATGATCAACAGATTCTGGAAAAAGTCATCGCTTTTTACGTGACTTCCAATGAGGAAGTTTAGATCAGCTGATTATAGTCGCATGTGGCTGACGACTGCACCATCGCACATCAAAATTCGATGCGAACATACGGGATCAGGTCGCGTATGACCTCCGGGCATTCGTCCCTGCTATTCATTGTAGGGTTTTTGGCATTGATCCAAAAAGCCTCAAGAAGTTTTCGCGCTGGTGTTTTGGACTCCTGTGCAAGGATATTGACTTTTACTTCAAAATCGTCTCCGCTACATAGCGGAGTCGATCTTGAAGCTCATAAAGGTTGCATGCTATCCTACGCAGTTGCTACTGTTATTTACAACGTATTACTTGCTTTTGTACTTTTTATACATATACATTACACATCTCCCCATCGTAGCTGGGAAATGTTCCTGAGTTTCGGGCTGTGATGTATAGTGGTGGGACTCATCCTCCAAGCAGGGTTTCTCAAACTGGGATGAATTCCGGTGTTTCCTTCAGGAAGCCCACATAATGACAAACCAATACCAGAATCCATCACCGCATTGGTGTGGTCACAGACCAGACAGACTAGTCGTATGGTGGTAACTCTTCCTCTGACCCACAAGGGCGGCGACTGCCTGTTGTGGGGACGACGTGGTGGAGAACTTGTCTAGGCTGACCTCGTAACTCCAGGAAACCGCAACGGCTGAACCAGCAAAATTCCGAAATAATGTAAATTATGCTAGGACTCGCGCAATTAGTGAAGACGGGCCATCCAGATATCCAAGTATTGCACATAATTCTCTTTATATTATATAATAACCATATTTTTATTTGTTTGCTTACTTATTTATTTGTTTATTATTTGCTCATTTGTTTACTTAGTTATTTATTTATTTGATTACATCACCCCGCCATCAAATGTATCACATTGTGAGGATACCAGCCTTTCTGGCACTCGTTTAATTTACTCGCACCCACTATCCACCAACGTCCTCGAACCTTTATTTGCGTACGTGTTCGGCTGAAGCTTGAGGATCCTTCGTCTTCGTCACGAATGCCTTTAAATGCTGGTGGAGACGAATCTCCCTGTGATTCTGCGATAGCGGTGCTACATCGTTCCTACGTGGATTATAGCGAGTGAGTTTGTCCTACATATGTTAATAATTTCACAACTTCGGAAGGATGAGAGACTTCACCGACCTGGAGCGGCGTCGAACCAGTGCCTAGGTTGTTTGAGTCGTCTATGATATGAACGAGATAGCTATCGTGGCGCTACCTGATCCACTGGTTCACCATACTATTTGCATCAATAAGGATTTTCTTCCCGTTTAAATAGTGGTTAATTAGCCACTGAAATGTGGTGTATGGAAAAGTTGAATTATTGCGGTGACTTGGGATTGGGACTTGCTGTAGCTTTATGGAGGGTGGAACAAATCGGTCAACAAATGTTGATAGAATGGCATTCGTTTCTACTGAGCTGCATCTTTTTTCGTAGGTGACAAAAATTGGGACAATTGGACGCAGATGGTATTCTGTACTGACTCTCTTGACTGGAACCATAGCGTAGATGTGGTCCATAAACCGAAATCTCTGTTGAAATGTTACTTGCTCAAATGGTTGAGCTTCCTCCAACAAGCATCTTATAATGAGCGATAATTACTTCCTTTTTGAAGATAAGTCATTGTATGGATTGCGAAGATTTCTTGTAGTCTGTGGCTTCCAGATCGAAAAATACAACCTGTTTTGTAGTCTGCACCCTGAGCTGCGTCTCTTCTCATGCATTCCAATTCGCACTTTAGGTTGATAAATTTTGGGCGGTTTTTCTCCCACGACGACTTTGATATCGGGCGAGGGTTGTGGAATGGAGAAGATTTAAGCAGAACTATTCAGTTGTAGGTTGCATGCCACTGTTGAGAGTTGCAGTCTAACCTTCGTTCATACGGAAAAATGTTGGAACGCTACATTCACATAGGTGCCAGCGACATTTATTCAGACTGCTTTAGGAGCTGTTTCCAATTTTTTTCGGTTTGTACCAGTCTGTCTTTAAGCCTTTCTGCAAAGACCATATAGAGCTGACATTCATTATTGGCAATGTTACTTATGTCGTAGTAAGATTAAGACCTTTCCTTTTCTTCTAGAGCAAATCCTTCGTGTTATAAGGAAGCGATACAAATTTGCTTGAGAAAGTTCGGCAGAAGTTCCACTTCTTCAGCAAGTAGCTCATAGTCATTCAACGGGTTTTCCTTGATCTATCAACCAAGTCAGAAACGGATTTCGCCCAAAATTCTCTCGTTATAAGAATTATTAGACAGTGTGTAATGTTGTAGTGATAGGTGATCTTGTAATATAAACTTAATCGGTCGCTAGTTCGCTCCATACTCATCAAGCCCTGTAACTTTCTGGAGTCTGTAAACTGGTATCAGACTCGTCTGTGAGGTCAGCAGTACTGACTTGATAGAGCCTAGATAAAGTCGAATGCACATCGCTTCCTTTAGGAATAGATCATCATCGAACGTTTTATCCTTTTCTACACTATTTTTTTGTCGGACAGTTATTTTCTAAGGGAGATATTGCTCAGAAAAGAACCCAGCGAGATGATATCCAATACTTATGGTCTCTCTTTTTATTCTATTTATATGATCTGTTTTTGCATGTTGTCTGGAATCCAGCACTTCTTCAACTTCCTTCATTGCCTTGCATCCATCATCCCCTAAAACCTTCGAAATTACGCGTGGATTCGGCTGGCCTCTGGAGGTGTTGTCTTCTTAAATGAATGTGTCGATGAAGACTACTTGAACTGACTTTTCCTGAAATTTTCGGACACCTGAAGTAGAATGTCTGCAGGTCGCCGCCAAAGAGGTCGTCTGTCTTTGTGGATACGAGTACTAAATTTGATCTATATTAGCCTTGATTCCTTTCATTAACTGACTTCTAGTTGAGCATCAAGGTGGGAAATGCGGTGCTTTTTCACAGTGTGAGTCCTACTAGGAGGTGAAATTCTGACTTTCGTCGATTATACATGATTATACATTATACAACCACGAAAAAACCCCTCCCAACCACGATGACACTGGCGGTTAAAGCTCTAAAAACTCTCAGCGTTGATTAATCCCTGAGAGATGTGCCATGCATTCGACTTCATTAAGCATCGTTAAAGGTGACTGAATGTATATCTGGTTTTTACAATGACTTGAGGTGGCACACCGATATATTGAGCCAATGCTGCTATGCTTCCATGCAAATCAGATAATAATTCGTCGACGCATGAAGGATGGAAGTCTGGCGCTGGAGGATCGATCCCATGTGCATTGCAGGGCGCCTACGACCACTGCGCTCCCCCATTGGTAGTTAATTATAAAAATTAGTAACTAATAATAGTGTGAAGCAATGTGTAACAATTATAGTAGGAACAACGACAATAGCAAAATGAAAAGACAGTACTCACTCTCGCCGTCACTTCGGTGGTCTTTCCGTCTTATCCCTTCTACACGAATTCCATCAAGCACAGTATTTTCTCCTTCTTTTGTTATTAAATGCAATAGGATATTTTTTTATGAAATATCAATGAAATTTGTTGTAATTTAGATGTTCGAGCTGGTCGCATCACCCTTGGCATCGCGGTACCAGAGAGATCAATCATTCAGACTTCTTCGACGCATCCAGAACCAGTGCCATCAGAACCCAAAAACTATTTCGAGAATGAGGAAAGGAACGTACATCTCGCCGGAAATTCAGAAGCAAAACCATTGGCTAACGTTCAACATAATGTATCGGATAATGAGAACAGAGTGACAGTGTTTGAAAAGGATGAAGCGCCAAAACCTAAGGCAGAAACAATGCCAGGTTCGGAATACGCACCTAAAAGAAAGTTCAGCAGGTTTTCAGCTGCACACGGTGCCTGCATTTATTCTGTAATCATAAGTAGTAACTTCACTAGTTTGCCGAAGTGAAGGAAAATCAATAGTTCGGAGAATACCATATGCTTATTTCTTTCATACCATTGAAGTGAAAACTAACAATGAATCTCTCCATTGTTTTTCCTGTGCTCTGAGGTTGAACCTGAAATCCAATTCCAGTAATATGTTTTGATCCCAGTAACGTGAAGTTCCCTCGCAACGGATTACAGCCTCATCGTGGCTGGGAGGTGTTCCTGGGTGTCGGGCTGCCATGTTCAGCTTGGGAATTTGTTTCCCGGCAGAGTCTCCCAAGCTGAGAAGGAGTCCGGCGTTTCCATCAGGAAGCCTAGTTAAGAGTAAACCAATACCAGGATCCGTCACCGTCCTGGGATCAAAGTCGCATAGTGGCAAATGTCCCTCTGATCCACAAGGGCCACGACTGCCTGTGGTGCCGAAGACCTGCGGCAGACTTCGGCCAAACTGACCTCGGCATTCCAGGGAACCACAATGGCTTAACCAGCAAATCTCCGAAAAATGGAGGTTAGGCTTAGGCAGCACTAACAGTGAGGACGGGCCGTTCAAGTATCAAGTAAGCAAGTAATATGGAGTTCACACCACTGCGAAGTTTCTGTTCTAGCTAAAAGTCCCGAACCTCTCTGACATATTAGGTAGAAAAGAAAAGAGGGAAAATATTCAAACTGATGAACTTCTTCCAGACATTCGCCCAGCTGCACCACCAGCATTAACTCAGATGTCTTCAGCTTACCAGAAAATGGTCGGATTATTCGGTCAGACGAATACAAGCGATACTGACGACGACGCCATTGTGCCGACTAGGGCCACCTTGGCTCACGAGAATCCACGTTCCACGTAAGCGAACTTTTTCGATGAGAGTGGAAAGTAGGATTTCTTTGTCAGACATATGAAATGCAAAGCTGGAGATTTGTGAGGCTGTGAACGAGAACTATATAGCTTCAATCCTAATGAATGGACTCGATGCTTTGTGATGCTTTCAAGCAGTGAATTCACATTCAATTAAGCCAGCAAATAGTCGATTCGGTTTTGCGTTGAGTCATCTAATTTAAATTCATTTAATGAGCAGCATCAAGTCGCAATTACTGAGCCTACTAAGTCATTGAAAGTTTTTCTAAGCAAAGATGTGGATAATAAGAAAGGGTGGCCGTTGTCCGATTGCTTACGTTTGGATGCAGCCTTGGAATGTAACTTATAGATATTGAGCTAAATGGATCGAAGTCATCTCATCGAAGATGAGCAAACCATTTTTTCACGAGTACTCTATGCACCAGAACTAACGGCATACACCTTCACATAGGTCTTCCTTAGCATTTTAACCACTGTTGGGTATCAAAATACATAGCGCATTGTGCTAAGTTTGCTTAAACACGTGGTTCCCGAATAGATAATGGGAGTAGATCTTAGATAGGAACTTCAGAATGGATAAACGATCACGTATTCGGCGTTTTTGATAAAAGCCTTAGAGATGCGGTGTACATTTCACTCCATTCTTATGTGGAGACGACTAAATGAATATTTGCCGAGACAATGACTTGCGCTAGCCTACCGATTATCAATTCACTACTTTCTCCGCACAGACTAATACGGTGTCAATTTCCCTACCCTTGGAGATAAGAAGTTTGGTTTACACGCGGGATCGAACCAAAAGCTTGTGTTGCGGAACACCTCTATCCGCCGCATTCAGCACGACCTAGGAGCCCCATATAACAAATATTCTGAACCGAAGATGTGAAACTGGTTAACAATCTTAGTATCTTTGCAGGTAAAAATTGTCTTAATCAAGAGCTGTCGAAAAGTTGTAAAACTCTCCTTACAGTCATAAGATTTTAATCCGCCAACTGAGAGTACGGCTTTTGTTCAGAGCTATGGCCCGAAAATCAACGGCGGAACAGAAAAGTGCTAGGACGTTGGCGCAGTATTTGTCCACAAATACGAAGTCATCCGATGTGTCTACACTCTCCGATAGCGACGACGATTTTTTCAAATAAATCTTTCTCAAAATATTGTTGTGGAGGCTGTTCACCTTTCACTTACAGGCCTATTTATGACAGAAAATGCATAAGTAGAAAGTAGGGATAAAAACATTAAAGGAATAAGGCTCTCGGCACTGATCAATTCCTGAGGGACGTGCCATACATTCGACCTCATTTAGTTGGACCGTTGGAGGTGACTGAATGCACATTTGACCATTACAATGACTCGCGGTGGAATACCGATGTATGAAGTCAGTGCTGCTATTTTCCCGGACAAATCTAGCACCGATCTGTCAACTCTGGAGGAATGGAAGGCTTGCTGAGCCTGCGGCGTGTGAATCGATTCCACGTGTATTGCAGGGCGACTCCAACCCCTGCTCTACACGCGGCCTTGGGACGTAGAGATAAGCGTAGTAATTTCTTCGTTTGTGAACTCGTAATGGCGTACAACATGCGTTAATACTCTACACTCTCTATAGTTATAAGCGTTCTGCGAGATCTAATACATCTAACTACCTGCATAATTACTAAATATTTATAGAAGATTTGCTAGGAAAAAGAAAGCAAATTCGTCGACAGACGTACTGGAAGCGACTGTGAACTGTTCGCGTCCTTGAAGACCCAGTTTCAAAAGTGAACAGTGTCTTCGCCTTCATATTTCCGCACTGGCACCATCTCAGCTCAAATAACTACTGAAGACCGCTTTTAAACAGCGAAAGAAGAAAGGAAGCACATTTTATAGTCATGCTATTTTATAAAAACATGGCTACATAAAGCCAGCACAAAAGCGATCTATAGTGCAAATAGGATTCTCTCCTTGTTAGCCACTGGCTTTAACCATCGTTAGAGGTACGAACAGGTCCAGCCGCAAAGTGTTTTCCCGCTGCTACCACCAGATCAACGGAAAATCGTTCAGGAAACAACTCCGGATCAATACCTCCTTGATTTCATGATTTAAATTTAGCCACCATACTAGACGGGTGATTGCTGATGGTGGCGTTAGGTAGTAAACTGGCTGAGAGAAAGGCAAAGCAACGGCTTTAGTGGTGCCGTGCGTAACACGTAAGACCCCGGAAACAGTAACCACGGTTCAGTCTGACCTAGTGTCCATGTTTTGCAAATATCCTAGCCTAATCTCTAAATTGTTGAGATGACACGAGGTACGTGCGAAAACACTTATTCGGTGAGCTTAAGACACATCGGAATTTCGTCGATGATCCATTGTTGACAAAGTCGTGAGCAGCCGACCCACGTCGCACTTTAGTCGAACTACTTTTGCGTTCGCGACAATTTGAGGAGGTTCGAATTCATCTTACGTTTGGAATGTTATGAGCAATATGTCAATCAATCGGATTTCTTATTTGTCGTCTAACACACCATATGAACATACAATCCGGACTTTGAAAATAACCTCATTAACGGTTAAATTATTGTAGTCTTCATATATCAAAATGTGTAACATCATGCTTTTTAACTGCAGCCATAATATCATCGTAAACTGACTCCCATTTAAGCTCGGTTGGAGTAATCAATGTACTTTCATGCATTGATAAGCTAACATGAGGTTGTTAGCAAAGACATTCGGCTGACATGTCGACGCCTTCATCTTCAGAACCGATGATCCAAGACGACTGATTGTCCACGAACGTTCGCCCTCGCGATGTGGTGCCTTCGTCGTCGTATCGAGTTCAACCTTTTTCGGTGAAGCATCGCTCGAATGAAAACAATTGCGACATCACGATAACAAATGACTGTGGACCATAGACTCGGATCACCACTTCCCACGAAGGCGAAGACGTCATCACATTAGCCGTATATAATTTTGGTAACAACATAGTGTTAGCTTAGCAATGAAAGGAAGTACATCGTAATCTCAACTTGTGAAAGATATCAGACAATAAGATAGAACTCAAATTTATTTCAATGCTTTAGTCCAACATAAGTTTACAATGGAGAGGAAAAAAACTGTAGGAAATAAAATGAAGGAAGATCCGTTAACGAGGTTGCACCAGTAGTGAGATGACATTCATATAAGAACAAAGTCGTAAAGTATTGCAGTGTTCCAAGAATAAACGTAAATCTACAAGAACAAATAACTCCAAGCCCCTTTCTTAATTTCTTTTGCACTTCACAATACTGAATTATGAGACACGACATTATACCACAAATATACGCCGGTGCGTTTGTCCACGCAAATAAACGTCCATATAAGGAATATGATGAAAGCGAGCAGAACATGAACCATGGAAGCCATGGAAACTCTGTGAAAAGAAAACACAACACGTTGGTTTTAAGATATTTAATCGCCCAGTTTATAGCACCTTCATGCAGTCCTAGTATGAAACAATGAATAAAAGTCTTTAATCGAAGTGGAACTTTATAGAGTAACTTCACAGAAACGAAAGAAATACTGATATGGCATAAGAAAAATACACCATATCTTCCTTTATTTTAATTCTTGTTGAGTTCCAGGTTCAACACTAGCAGAACGAGGATTTTCATCGGTGGAGAACAGTAGAGTACCAGCTGCTGGTACACCACTGATGTTGTCCTGTGCGGACACGGGACGGCGAGATAGGGATGAAGAACGACTGCGAATCTTGATGCAGCTCACACCATGTGTTTGTTCACTCCTAATTCTAGAATGAGACGACTGTTGCAAAGAAAAGAAAGGCCGATCAGAACAAAAACAGTACAACAAAATGTGGAGACATAGGAATCCACCTCAGTGGTGTTCTCATGGCCATCGTTGCGACTCGTTTAGGGACTGCTAACCGCTCTACCATAGCCCGGAGCTCATTTCTTGATAGCCTCCGGACAGAAGAAGGCTCAGCTTCGACAGAAGGAGCAGTCTTAAATGTAAACAGTCATAACAAATAAGTTAAATATTTTATAACCCTTAAATCTCCGTGCCAAAAACGATAACCATAACCTGAATACAAGGCAACAATTGCTGCAAAAGAATTCAGATCTTTTGAAACACGCATGACAAAGTTCTAGACAGCTTAGAAAGTTGGAAAAGCCTGTGCGTTAAAAATCATTCTCAACAACACGAATCAAATACGACTCATATCGTTTGAAAATCGTCTTCGCTTTAAATGCCAATAGCATATTAAGCAGGCTATCACAACTGCTTCAGAATCACTAATGTTTTGTGAACCACAGCCAGTATGAAAACATTAAATCTAAATATCACTCTTCATATCTTCTAACCAACAACTACGTGCTCAAATACCTACCACAATCATATCCGGCCACTTATCATGGTTTTCTAGAAGATCAAGCTATGAATAAGGACTAAAGGCGATAAACTGGTTGTCGGTGATCAATTCTTTAGTGATTGACTCTCGTTTTGACTCCATTGAAAAGCCCGAGATTCAATGAGTATAACGCAACCGATTCGAAAATGAAGGCTGTTTCTAAGTCCAAACAGATCTCAATTTATACAGAACTTCATCGGGTGGGATAAAAACTTATAATCTACAGATTCATCCATGTAGGGTATGTGTTACTTCATTTCGCTAAGCCAATTAGCTGATTTTCTGGAGTCCAAGACAAATATCTCTTCCAATTTTGGGTTAGAGCTCGTTTATGAACACAAAGGCAATTGAACATCTGGGATTTCGTTCATCAAAACATGACGTCCTTCTCAACACGTCGATTGTTTCTGCAGGCCCTCCTCTGTTCAATTTTTGGAAAATGCGAACTCTTAACACAATTGGAATTAAGGCAATATCGCATACTATAGATACGATTAAGAGCAAAGACAATAGTACCTTCCACAAATCTGTGCAGATTCCAACTGGAAACCTTTAGTCGCACCACAAGACTAATTAGACTAGGATCGAATCTCTGAGGATGGCCCTACTGACTCGATACATCGATAGCGCACCATGATTCACTGTATAGGTCATTTATTCATTCAATTACCTCAGATGATACTTAATGAAGTCGAATGCACGGCGCATCCCTCAAGGAATGACCAACGCTGAGAGAGAGTTTTATCCTTTTCGCTTTAACTTACGAATTAAAACTATTCCAATTTATCCACCATATTTAGAAATGTTTCAAGAAGTTTAGGTTTCGTTCAAACTGCCGTCCATCACAATCTGCTACACTTATGAGTATTTTTTGAACAAATCGTACCCGTTTTAATTTCGATTCCGCGTCTTTTTGAGGATGTTTCTGCTCGAAATTAAATTCCTGACAAACCGTGGGACGTCGATGAAGAGGCGTAGCATGCTAGGGTAACACATTCTTATTGTAAGAACAACAAACCCCAGTGAAAAAAGCTAAAACATAGAGGAGACGTACTAGACGGAGGGGTTACTTGAAAACCGAAAATTTTTAGATGGAAACGAAAGGAAAATCGATGAAATAAAGAAAGAGAACGCAAAGATGAAAACAAAGCCAAAAAGTTGTTAAAACAAAAAAATGGATAAACAGATACCGTGGGAATGGGATAACGACGCAATTCCTTGCGAAATCCATGCACTGGTGTGCCATCCCCGCCTCCTCTTCCTATAGGAGAATGACGTATTACTGAGGGACGTGGCTGGGGTGGTCGATAATCGGCTCTGCGTTGTGCAGAAGACTGCACTGCAACATCCTAGAAATGTACAGGTCTTTCTCATGTAAGAGATTTCCAGCCGATTAGTAGTAACGCGATATGCCTTTTCGAGCTCGTAAAAGAGATAAACACAGGTAAAAACCCAATACTTAGTTCTATTATGACGTAAGTGAACACATTATGGGCTCAGGGGATTTGGTGCGCTAATTTAACCTCGTACGAATTCCAACGAACAGAACCTAAATGTAGCTCGGTGAATACACAAAAATCCAACCACCCCCATTTCTCGTACGCCCTTGTGTCACTCAAACACTGATGGAATTACAGATAATATATGCGGTAATTGTTCATAAAAAGTGCTGTGAACATTAAAAATGTACTATAGTATTCATAAAACAGTCCTTACAAAGCCGTAAATTCGAATACAAGAAAAATAAATGAACGAAGTCTTACCCTTGCACCAGAACTACGCTGAGTAGAAGCTGGTTTAACAGAAGCCAATAGTCCATTCTCCTTCACAGGTACAATAGATTGAGCGGTAACTGGCTGATTATGTGACTGCTTCGACAAATTAGGACGATTCACGCTCTGTGGACCAGCAGTCAGGCGAGCGGCACTTGAAGGACGAGCTAATGACTGCGAAGCGCTTTCGGCATCGTTCGCGTAATGTTTGGTGTTTGCGCGCTGAACAGTAGAACGCGCAATGTTTAATGGACGGTCAATTGTACGCGTCGCACTAGACGATCTAGTTTTGGATTGCTGGGTGTTGGAAGCAACAGGCGTAGCAGAAAATACCCGAGAAACACTAGAAGCTTGAGGTTTCAAGGTCCTGTTTATCGGGCCATGAATTTGACGATTCCTCGACACACCTGGAATTTATTCAAGTCAGTTGTGTCCATTTCATTTACAAGGTAGGTGTGGGAATAATACACGCAATGATATGCACGCATATATACATTTATGTCTATAAAGCCAAAACCGTACTAGACTTACTAGTCCTAGCAAAATCGTCTGACTGTGGCTCCTTTGTCTCATTTTTCGGTGTTGACGAGATACCGCGTCGCACAGATCCCAGACTTGGGTTTCGGTTATTTAGTTCTTGACGAAACTCACGTTCACTGGGGACAGCATCATTTTTCAAAAATAAATCTAAACCAATAATCTTGTCAAAACAAGTCTCCTGCTAAGACCACCCTCTACAGCAAACATACTTGTATTGCTTAGCGTTTAATCACGACCAAAAAATCCCATGCGTGCTTTTAAAGCCTTGTTAAGCTCACTTTTTCCGATGCCAATTACTTTAAACGACAGTGTCACATTTTACCTGTACGGACAACACATGTACTTTTTCTACAGCCATAGACGCCTAACGGAAGTAAAATTATTTCCCGTCTCAACATTATCCAGTCATAAAGGTCTACGTACCGAAACAAAACAGTTCTGCGCAAGTTCTACGAACCCTCTAAGTAAGAACCACAGCCGAATGCATCCTAATGGCAAACCAACAACACTTTGATCATTTCTCTATTCAGTGAACAAACACAAAGCGACACCATCTCTCTAAGGGTTCATATCATCATCCTTTCTATGAGTACCACTGATGCTGCTACAAAGTTTCAACAGCTAAGAAAAGAGACGAAATATATTAGAGTGTATACAAAAAAAAAACCCAAGGTAACAATAAAAACACAAGCGACGAAGCATAACTGTTTGAACTGTACGGCCCTATAACCAAGAAAAACACGTCTTCTTCTCAGAGGTCTTACCAAGAAAACGTACAATGGTATGGGTTCTTCAAAAATTCACCTACATTACCAGCGAATCTAATCGACTGTAGTTCTTTCACAGTTCTACTATACATTGCATTTGTCAGCTAACACAAAGAGCTCGGAGATCCATCTGCGTCCGTTAGGTGCCCAGTTAGCACAAACCGATCAATAATCATCCAGTCGCGCATCGCATTCAAACCCTTCGCAATCATCATCTCTGCGATCCATATGATAAACATCTAAGACGTAATAATAAAAATCGACCGGCACATAAAAAGATAAGACAACAGTAAAGTGGATTTTAAGAAGATACGTCCTGAATGGACACCACCTATAAAATGTGTCTATCGATAGCGTTAACCAGCAACAAAACACAATCACTCCAAACTTGTAGATGTCATCATGCAAAATACAGGAAACCCATATGGAAGACATCCGTAAGTGATGAAAAATTTAAAGTGTTGAGGACATCAGACGCAGTGAGGATGAAACGGCAAAATGTACAGGTGAACAGTTACTATCACCGATGATATTGAAATTCTAAATACTCCCACTATGACGACCCGATAATTGCAAAACTTGCACCCCAGGCCAGATTTAACCATGATTACCCTTTCCGGATGTTCGCATAATACACACTGCACCACTGAGGCCCTTACTCTGCGTTTCTTAAAACTAATTTTCTACTTAACGCTGCTATCATCATCATTATCATCACCTAAATATTTCATTCAAACAACGTCATTCAGCTTTAACAATTACCTCCTCTGATTTCAGTTTGCTCGCTGCGTCTAATCCGTACAGGACCTGAGTGCTGCGCTTTTTTCGTCGCAGCGGCACCGCTCACATTGCTACGTGGGGTTCGATCTCGCGCCTGACGGTCAGTGCTAAATTTCATCTTCCTGAAGTCACTTCGCAGATCCTGAATTTACAGCATTTTAATTAAGGAATGGAAAGTAAAGTTATTTATTTGCTGACACCTTGTTATTATCACCTCGATCCTTTTCGGTAGGAGTCCTTTGTTTTGCAATGGGTCTAAACAACAATGAATTATAAAACAGTAATAACGATTAATGACCATGAATTGCAAGACACCAATATTTGTAGAATTCTAACGTCGTATGCAGATCCTTGTACCGCGAACGAGTGATTACACCACTTGTTTCGTTCTTCTGTGATGTCAAGGGACCAACAACACGTACTGCACTGAAAAAAATAGAAATATGCCATAAAGGAAAAGTGTACCATGAATCTTTCAAACGGTTTATCGCCCCATCGTGACTAGAAGGTGTTCATGCGTGTCGGGCCACGATGTACAACGGGAGAATTCATCCCTTGGCAGCGTCTCCCATGCTGAGGAGTCTGGCGTTTCTATCAGTAAGCCCAGCTAAGAGCAAACGAATACCAGTATCCACCATCGTCCTGGTACCAAACTAGTCGCATGGTGGACTGCCTGTGTTGATGACGACCTTGGGTAGACTTTGGTTAGCCTGACCTCGCGACTCCGGGGAAACATGGCTAAACCAGCAAAACCCCGAAAAATGGAGATTATGTTGGAGACCGCACAACCAGTGAGGACGCGTCGTCCAAGCATCCAGGTAAGCATGTACCGTGAATATAAAAAGGTTCCAAATAATGTATCCACCATACAGCCGGTTATAGTAATTCAAAAAAGTGTTATTTCAGGTACAAATCTCGCCTGTAAGTGAATTACAATACCTTGCGATAATTGTGTTGCAATAAACAACTCAGAGAAAGAGATTTAGGGCGACTCCAATTCTATTGTACCAAAGGACCCGAGGGCAAAACTTATTGATATAATGATGCTGAGATATTTGCAAAACTCTGGACTGCAGGTGTCTATGGTGGGGGAACGAACGCGCTATTGTCCTTTCCGGGGAGTAACGCGATCACCACCACACCATGCAGGTTCTTCGTTCCGCCTGTCTCTCCGATCTGTCGATTTGGGCTCCCCAGATCAATCGCGTTGACGGCTGATTGCTGATGGCAGTGATCAATAGAACTAGCTGAGAGGATTATTCCCCGGAAAGGATAATAGCGCGGTCGTTCCCCGCCGCAGACATCTGCGGTCCGGAGTTTTGCAGATATCTCAGCATCATTGTGGTTGTTTCACAAATAATGCCCTGCTGTGAAAACTTGTAAAAGGCTTATTAACATATTCGATAAAACGACTCATACAGTAAAACATTATCGGACGAAAATCTGCGCTACCAATGTGTCTCTGCCGCCACCATTGCCATCCAATCCACACTAACATTTAATCGCCTCACTTTGTTATGGCATAACTCAGTGAATAATACCGTTTGGTTTATTAAATGCTCAGTTAGAACCTCTCAAGGAAATATTCGTAAAGAAATTCATCAATATGAAAAACGAACGTATTATTCTGAAGCGCTGCATCGCGCGGACGAGAAGCAGGTATTGGTATCACTTTTCTTTCTTGAGTTTCGCGCTGCACCAGACGAGGTGGCTTGGACGGTTGAACCGACTTGGCGTGAGAAGCCGATACTGAAATTAGTCCACCTATTCCCCTTATGTTAAATATATATAAAATGAAGAACTTGTAGCTTAAGCCTATACAAAATAGTTGCTCCAAAACAAAAAAAGACTTATCGCGATCTTTGCAACTGCAATATTCCACTATCGGACCCAAAATAGCGCGTATGGCGCAGCAGTCGAAGGCACCCTCCAATACACATGGAATCAAAGCTCACCAAGCATCTCATCCCTTCGGGGTTGGTACATTGGTATCAGACTTGCCTGGGAGGATAGCAGGACTGGCTCGATACATCGGTAGACCAGCGCAAATCATTATAAAGGCCAGATATACATTCAATCACCTCCAACGTTACTTAATGAGGTCGAATGCATGGCGCTTCAGGGATTGATGAACGCCGACAGCTCTATCCATTATCCTTACCCGATTCAACGAACGTGGATGGGACCACCATAGCATCCTGCCATGAAGTGGAATTGATAATGGAAAAGTCCTACAGCAACGCTTTCCGTCCCACAATCCCTGTGTCGGGTCCCAAAACCCTTGATAGTGAAAAAACGCCAAGGATTCTACCCTCTGAAGTTGGAGCTGCGATAAAAAGTATAAAGATAGGCACAGTTCGAGAACCCGATAATATCGTTGACGATTTCGTTTGAGCTGTCGTAAACACCTGCTCACATGATTTATGCTTTGGCGCATGTCCATAACCTTGGGTGAGGCATAACGAATTCAGTAACCAAGATTCGACAGGGATTTCGCTTCATGGACCACATCCAAACGGTGTCACAGATCACAGAAATCTGTCGGTAGCACCATGTACACTTGTCCTAACCTTTATCGGCCTCATGTGTTTGACAGCGTCGAAACGAATCCAATCCTATCAGCGCCGCCCCACTAAGGAGTGCATCCGTTTTATATATGAACGCTAGCTGATTGTTATTGGAACTGAAGCAAAAGCTTTTCCACGGACCTTTCACTACATATTGATGGAGAATTTTTACCTTTCGCGGTTGACATGGTCAACTTTTCGAGGAGCACCACTGAAGGAGAGACAACGCTCAATGAACTCATCGAAGCGAAAAAAAGATTTGACTGCGCATAAATAGGATGGAAACCCAATTAGTGAAAAACCCATGGCGCGTAGGCAAAAAACCTAACTATATAGTTCTTTGATTACAGAAACCGCCCCGTACGTCTACCCTGGACGTTTAATGCACTTGGAGGACAACGTCGAGGAATTAGATAGAAGAATGATCAGCATGGATCTAATCAGCCCTTTCGGGCCTCTAAGAAGCCACCGACGAACTAATGGAGTGGGTCAAAAACTCCAGAGCCACTTTTTCCTTTCAAGAGCATTCCTAGCGCATTGTTATGCGGTAGAAATGTGGCCTAATACTTCAACCACGCCAACAATACTGTGTACCATCCACACAGCGCTTGAACTATTTCTTCCATAATTTAACCGGGATACTCATCCCAACCTCGGGATCCAGGAGAATACACATCGATAGCCAAATATACATGGGCCGCCCACATGATAAGGACAGATGATAGATGGACGATAAGAACAGTGCACTGGATCGCAAGAGAATACAAGCGTGCTCTTGGAAGCTCACCCAAACGAAGGGCGGACGAGTTCGTGGTTAAGGTCAAATATCTGCACTCGGCAACGGTAGTACTTTCAGGAATTCTTGATGGGCATTGCAGATGTCACCGTATTCGAAGCCTCTCACCACCAGTGACGACGATTGCCCGTGAAAGAAACGAATGGTAATTGTGCTGAGTCTCGCACCACCTGTTAAGACGGACCATACAAGTGTCCAAGCATTTAAGTAATCAAATTTCTAAGTGAACACTAAGAATATCCAGAAAAGCAGAAGTCGATTTTTTAATGGAATCTTAACAGAACTCCCTGGATTAAAAATTCTATTACAGGAAACATGTAAGAAAATTCAAACCTGATTCATGGACGGATTCGGACTTTACTTGAGATCGACGAAGAACTGCCTTCTGCCTCCCAAACATAGCTAGGTGACCGAGGTCTTCTGTAAAGACTTGAGAAGCAAAAAACTGAACAAGGTGAAATATGAACTTCTTTTTTGGAGGTAATCAGGACTAGCCAAACGTTCACAAAGAATACGGCTCAATAAACTTCATCTTACCGAGTTTTCCAACAGGTTTTGCGACAATAGATGATTTAGAGCAGTTTTCGTTTTCTTCACCACGTTGTAAGTCCTGGAGAAAAAGTGAATAATTACTGAAAGACCAGCGAATAAACGATAGAGTTCATAAAAAATAATCTACCCTACAACTGACTGCATTTAATCTAAGGTAAGTAAAAGTCTAATTGCGACATAAATCTTGAACGCTACGAATCGCATTCCACATGGTAGAGCTTATAGGTGAGTATAAGCTTTATAGTAGCCAACGGTTTGAGAGTATGGAACAGCATGTTTCTCCTTCATGTAATGTCATCCTAACCGGGGAAGAGTTCAACTTTTCAATTTCGACACCAAGCTGAGCGTAATCAGATAACACAGGTTACGGAGCACCAGATCTCGCTCGATTTTAGAAATGCCACTTTTGTACCGATGTTTCAAGTATCTGGGTAGGAAACTAGTCATCTATAAGAAATATGGAAAGCAGTTTGAACAAGTTCACCAAATGTAAGTGGTATTATTTGAAAGCAATCGCAACATGTCATAATAACTGCTTCATGTACAAGACCAAGAACACCCATCAAGCAATGATCGATATGCCTTCATGAGGCTTCAGAACAATGAACAGAACCGAGATTAACTAACTGCTGTTTACAAACGATGATGACTCTCTCGAACTATGTTACTGCTCATTGCCAAACGCCAATGTTCTCAAGTCAACATCCTACTCTTCAATAGAAGACTGTAACTACGTGATGCCTTCGTCGCAACATGGCTCTTATATTGGCTGTGATTTCTTTTCCCACGTACACATTCGATTCAACCGGAAGCAATGAAAACACCCGTCATCTAAGGACGGTAAAAATCGTGGGTCCGAAAAGCGCTACGACGAGGTGACACTGTCACACCAAAGCGGTTTACATTTGCATTGCAGTGGGTAGAAGCACTCGTTGTGGCGTTTGAAAAAATTACCTCCTCGCCATAGAGCGGTGAATTAACAAAAGGAATTAAAATTGCAATGGGGCTAAGGGTGCATGTGGGCCACTGGTCCGAGGCGTCCTGCAATACACGCATGGGATCGATCTCCGCGCACAAGGCTCACCAAACCTTCCACCTTTCGAGGTTCAGCAAATTGTTACCATATTTGCCTAGGAGGATAGCAGAATTGGCTCGATGCATCTGTGGTCTATCGAGAGTCATTGTAAAGGCCAGATATGCATTCAATCACTACCAACGATGCTTAATGAAATCGAACGCATGGCGCATCCCTCAGGATTGATCAACGCCTACAGCGTTAGCCGCCTTTTTATTTTACGGAGCAATAAACAAATAATTAGTTATGGTTACATTTGTCAGAAAATTAATATCACAGCGTTGTTATTGAAAGAAAAAAAATTGAACCTAATCCTTACTTCTATTATTACTGCAGTTAAACATAACTACGGTGGCAGGCAGCGCAATGGTAGTGGTGTCGTTAATCACCAGCACAGAGCTGATACAACCATGTCCCGGCTTACTAGGTTACCCATCCCTCCAGTACGGCAATCCGGTGCCAGAAGGGATCCGCTCACATCCTTAAAACCTAAATGGGTCCTGCAAGGCTATCTCAGTTCTGCAGGGAGTATCGACTCGATCAACATTGAACGACATGCGTAAAGAAGACGGAAATCTTCAAGCAACCCAATTACAAAACTTGAAGACCTTCGTGGATGACCGATGCTAGGAAGCGAGCCGAATACAAGTATTGGGATCCACACATGTGTGGAGACGGACAACGTGAAAAAAGAAACGAATAACTCATGTAGTAATGAAGCATCGTAGTTTTATACCAGAAACCACAGATCATATTAAACTATCTAGGCGAATCAACCAGTTTATTAACTAACTCAGTGATGATCGATGTTGACCCGCTGCAGTCTGCACGACTACACTGAGTCAAGCTCTGTCTACTGATTGAACGACTTCGTACCCTGCTATGATGAGCAGATGGTCTATCACAGATGACAAAATATAACATTATAGTGGATCTAAGAATCTTTATGAGTTTGAATGAGAATGTCTTACGCACAGAAAGAAAAACAGCTACAAATACAAACCTGCGCTAGGTTCTCTACTTCAGTGGAGTGTGTGAAAACCATGCCATTAGTACTCTCGATGTTCCGATCTTGACATACAGGTAAATTGTGTTCTATTGCTTTATCGCTCTAAATACCAATGAACATATTTCCCAATTCACGAAAAAACGGCTTCAGCAATAGGTCCTCGTTAATGGATAGCATGAAATTCAGTCTTCGAACCTACCACAGTCCCGTTGGTATGGTAGTCTCAGAACAATTCTGATAGTGTCATGGTGGAATTAAGAACACATCACACCACCAATATTACTACACCTACTAGTGAAGGAAGTAAACATTGTTTCTAATTTTTTCATTCTTTAAGACTCCAAGAACGAACTGTGTGAAAACTGAGATTTACCTGAACTGGTTGATCTCCTACAGCATTCATTGCCCCTTGAACTGACTTTGTTATATCCTCTAGGCTACCTTAACTGACACCAAATAAGCAGTTGCCAGTAAAACGGTGTGGAAACTATGAAATGTTGAGAACATACTACGAGTCTCGAAGAACGCATCACACATCGTTTCCGTCACACTGTCATCGCTGCGCAGTGAACCAAAACGTCGAGCATTGACAGTGTCGTAGAGGGAATCGTATTTGTCCGTCATTCCTGAAGAAGAAAATCAACGAAAAGATAAACAACTAGGAAAAATCAATGAACACTTCACGTTACGGTTTAGTCCGAGAAAGTGACTACTTTTTGGTTTCTTTAAAAAGGGTTAATTTTATTGAATCATGTGAACAGTGCAGCCACTTTTTAGTCACCGCCCATTACTTTTCATGGCAGAGTATGATGTAAAATACAACCACAATGATACTAAGATATTCTCAAAACTGCGGATCGCAGGTGTACGCGGTGTGGTCAAACCCGCTATTACCCTTTAACGGTTAACGTGTTCACCACCACTTCATGCGGCTCCTTCGTTTAGCCTTTTTCTCAGCTAATTCTGTCTGCTCGTTGCCAGGTGACTGCTGATGGCACTGATCGATAGAAAACTAGATGAGAGACAGACGAAACGAAGAACCCGGATGGTGTTGTGGTAAACGCGTTGGCCACCGATAACGATGATAGCGGGTTCGATCCCCACGACATACACTTGCGGTCCGGAGTTCTGCAAATATCTCAGCATCACTGTGGTTATATGAACAGTTTTCACTCAGCTCAGTAACCAAATTTATGCGATATTTTTGTACACCAATCTGAAATACACTAAAGTTGAGGGCAACAAGTGTACGGAACCATCATCGCTCACTACATAATAAGCGATCTTTCACACTTAACCCTGGCAAAGGTGCATTTAACGTTCTAACAAATCTAAGTGAATACAACTGTCAAGCAATCCTTAAACTAGGGACCAGTGCTGGTTTTTTCGTGAAGCGGACTTTTGAACAGTTCAGAGCTTAAGTTGTATAAAAGAGGCTTTGCCCTATTGACACACTAATTTGTATAGTCTCAACAAAGCATTTTTCTAACCCTAGAATTATTTAACACTCCTACGACAACGCCTAATTTCGGTTTTGCTGCGGAGTGGACGACGCATAATTCTTCGCTTTGCTTACTATGACACCTATGAGATTCACGACGGCCACTCTTGAAGTTTTTACGTAGTCACACCGTTGTTATTGTTATTTCCGTACTAAAAATCGGTTTTTTCGCTGCCTTTTGAAAGAAAATTTTGCATTTCTCCTATCCTATCCTACGTAAGGCGCGTGTGGCGCTGTGGTTGGAGGCGCCCTGCAATACACGTGAGATCGATTCCTCCTTCCCAGGCTCACCAAACCTTCTCTCCGGAGGTGGTAAATTGGTACCACTTTTGTATGGGAGATTAGCAGCAGTGGCTCGATACATTGGCAGACCACCGCGAGTCATTGGAAAGGCCAGATATGCATTCAATCACTACCAACGATTCTTAATGAAGTCGAATGCATGGTGCATCTCTCAGAGATTGATCGACGCAGAGAGCTTTATCCTATCTTTTCCTGTGCATGCCCCGTCTCCTTTTATACAACCTCCACTGTTTCTGATGGACATACAACTCTAGTGTGAGGAAAAAATACTCACCCACTATGCAATCATGCCACTGTCATCATTTAATAAAGCGCCTCTGTTGGTGCAACGGACAACTCGTAAGGACCCGAAAAGGGTTATCGCGGGTTCGAAATGAACCTCAGCTTCCTAGATTTGCTCATATCTCAGCATCTCTGTGGCTGAATTTATGTGGGTCGTGCAAAGAATGTCACGGTGTTTAGCTTGTGGCTTTGTTATCCTCTCATTCGATAAAACTCCAAAAAGTCCATCATAACTATTGAAAATTAGAAAGTGATGAAATGTTTATAAAAAATGGTGCAGTACACTGCATGAGTTCTCTGTTCTTCGCGACAGAACCATTTCTGGGCCTTTTCACTGGCCACTCTCGTTCAATGGCAATAGTCTCTTGCCACAAAAAAAGTGAACCGTGCGAAACTATTAAGAAGAAATCCTCCCATGGACAATGCCCGCTACAGCATCGGCTTTGGATAAGTTTCCGGGTGACTACAAGAAGTCTAGGAAAAACAAAACTTCGCACCAAAGTGAACCAGCGGTAATATATGATACCCAAAGCTGTCGTGACGACCATACCCGCAAATTCATTATGACACCTATAAAGGTCACTCGGAGCGAGAGTGTTACCATGAAAGTTTTACAAAGAACTGACATTAAAGTTCAAATTTTTTTAAAACTTCAAACAAAAGCGGTACAATGGGGGGACGTTAGTGTGTCCAGTTGGATGAAACCTCTTTCACTCTGTGGGCTCTAAACACAAACTTCGGCGAAGAAAAGCGTAGAAAAAAGCTTTGAAAGTTCGAAAAGGAGTATAATAAGACAACTCGCATCTTGTTAACAAAGATCAACAGATTCTATAGTGTGTCTGAAATTGAAGCGGACATCATCCCTGCAGCAAACGCACTGAAATCAATGCATATAATCGCGAATGGGTGAGAGATCCATAACTAGGCTTCGGTAGTTAGGGGCCAATGAAAAAACTCCTGGTGGATGAATAAGAACCAAGTATATGAGTACCACGGATGATAGAAACACTAGTGTCCACCATCCATTTCTTGTGAATCAATAGGACAATAGAAGTTTCAGGATCAAAAATATGACATCACCAACAGTGCTGTCACGTGACTGACTGACAGCTCTGCCTCTCACAATGCCTCCAAGGGCTTCGCTGAGGTGAGGACGAAACAGACAGTTTCTGAACAACTACCAACTTTAAGGCGCTTATAGAGTTGTTGCAACTTCACCGGAAAAATTGAGCCCCCCACTCCCCATAAGAGAGATTACTATTTCAGTTGATTTATTTTCTTGAACCTATTTGCAGCGTTTCATTAAAGTTAGAGACTAACATCGCATATATCACGGGTAAGGTTTAAATACTACAAACTGAGCTGTTGAGTTCGGAAAGGCCAAGTTGATCGCAATCTACTCTGCCACTCCCTCGAGGCTCTGAAGAAGGCGAAATTGGCCAAATCGTCTGATTGTTAGTAAATAAAGAAATGAAATAACGTCTTGTGTTCGCCCAACAAGAACATGAAGAATTGTTCGATCGATGTCGAGGTTAATAGAAAGTTGGTCGCGAAAATTACTATAAATGGACATTCTGCACTCTGGGTATAAAGAAAGAAGACCACTAATGATCAAAGCAATAAACAATGAAGATGAACGCAGGACGCATCAGGATGACCCACAACCAGAGCTGGATTTGAATCCGTTCATTTCGCGCCTTTATAGGACTTCGTTGGCACTATTATAGGGTGGGTAATCACGAATGGAGCAAAAATTGCCCGTTGTCCAACCGAAGCTTTCTAACTAGTTTAGTGGAGGTTATAGAAGATCTGTAAAGCTTCTAACGACCGACGTTTGATTATCATTGACATTAGTGGAGTTATATCGTCATACGAAAACTCTCTTTGAGTCGGAACGAGGCTGTCGACACGTATTTCGAGGTTTGGTGGTTAACACAGCAAACTAGCCGTGTTCAGAACTTAGACATTCTGTTATCTAGCCTTATTCCTACTATTCAGTGGGTATTGTTTAGTTCTGACGAATATCTTGTGCATAGATTAGTCTGATCATTCGCCTATTAGGAAGCGCTCACTGTTGTTCTTTTCAAGGAGAGAGCACCTTTGTGTTGTTCATATACGATCGTTAATAAACTTCATTCGGCTCACTTTTGTGGTCTTAGATAGTGCGATGAATCGCGTATACTGGGCCATTCTATTCGTTTTTGAATACTTTAAGTCCATGCAAAGTGAGTAAAAAGTTGTGCGCGTTGATATTTCTTCGTAAGTATTGTGATTACCACACCAAATCATCACTGTGCTGACGCCGTGACCTTCGATTTGCCAGAGGACTTTCTGGGTTTTGAATTTCTCGTTTGAGTGTTCCTCGTTGAGGATAAGATGTGGTCTACCCGTTTTGCCATACATGAACGATGTAGAGTGGTCTCACTGTTTTAAAATGAGAAGGGTATTACTTCGTTAGTTGTTAGCAGACTAATGTTGGATACATCTTTGCTAAGCCTACAGATTCCTCACTGCATAAAAAGGGTCTGGCTAAATAGCAGTACGTCAAGCTTCTGAAGGAAACTAATTCGCAGAGTATCAAAGACGTGTTAACATCCTACTGTCAATTGAGAAAGGAGAAAAAAAAACTGTAGCTCGAAGTAGGTGTAAAGGAAACCAAAGGTTCCCCAACGATAACTTTAGGGACAATAATGTCCCGTTTATACTGCCCTCCATTTCAAATGAAGTAAGTGCAGCTATAAAACGCTGTTTAAGAAGGGCCGGTCTAAGGAATTCGGTAACGATAATTGAAATGCCACCGAGTAATCTAAAATGCCAGCTAGTTCGTAACCGCCTACACGACCGCCTATGTGCAACGCAAAATTGCATAATTTGCCCCAATAGTAGAGACGGTGACTGCATGAGTTCGGGTACAGTCTATCTGATCTCTTGTAAGGCGTGCGGGGACGTTGGCGAGGGTAGACCACTCTGCGTACGTATAAAAGAACACCTAGTCAGCAAACGTAAACCAAATACTTCACTAGGCACGCATAGGACGCAGAGACATAACGGAGAAGATTTTGAAGTAAGGGTTACGATCCTCGCGCGTGAATCGAGAACACAAGTGCGCAAACTCTAGAGGCATTCTGGATTAATTCCAAGAATCCGAAAATGAACCGCAGGAAGGAATGCCTTGTTATCACGCGTGATATTGGACAGTATATAAACCTGTTATTCTGATGGGAGGGGCACATTACGCTTCCATGTGAATTCTGAACGGTTGGTCTCCACGTGACATACTCAGTGGAAGACTCATAGAAAGCGGTGAGTGTGCAGAGCTGTGTTAAATGTGATTGAAATCTTGGTTTAGCGTTTTCTCTGTTTGGTTATGGAGGTGTTTGGCGGAATAAGTTGCTGTCAACTTAACCTTTCCAGGCTCTGAGGAAGGCGAAATCCGCCGAAACGTCAACTTGTACGTAAATAAAGAAATAAAATAACACCTCGTGTTTGCTGAACAGAAGTAGAAAGGGTGAGAAAGGAGCGTTTGTAAAGTAACGTTTGTACAGCTGTTGTCCGTTTTTTTTCCTTTTTCGACGTTTATGAGATTATACGTTTCTGTTCCCATAGACGGGGATGAGCATTGGTGGTCATCCCGACTCCAATGGTGAATCTAAAGCCACTGATACATCGAAGAAAGGACAAACGTCGAGAAACAGCAGTTGTCTAGGAGTGAACAATCTGAAAAGAGAAAAGCAAGACGACGCAGGTCGTACACTTACTCTCTTTAGTTTCCTCATTTTCAGAACTTTTGGAATTAAGTTGTTGTTACTAAGATTGCTCAATGAGTGAATCGCAAGGATCATGCCGTTTAAATGTTTGTGTTACTCGTACATCTAAAGTTGTACTGCTGGCAGAACTTCCTGTACAAGAGAATATATGCATGTACTTGGATACTTGGATCGTCCGTCCTCATTGGTTATGCAGACTGCAGCATAATTTCCACTTTTGCGGAGCTTTGCTGACTTAGCCATTATGGTTCCCTGGAGTCCCGAAGCCTGTTCAAAGGTAAAATCGTCTTCCGCCTTCCAAAGATCTCCTTACACCGGCCTTTCTATAGCAAAATACTTATTGAGTACAGAGACCTATTTTGCTGGGAGCTGTAGGAAGAACAGAAAAGAACTTAGGCAAATCATTCACTCCGTGCTAAACAGTGGAGAATTGGTAGCGGAACAGCATCGAAGCAGTACAACGCTCTTATAGTGGAAAAGTGAAAAAGACTTTATTATAATGTTCACATTTCACGACGTATCTCTTTCCTTCAACTGGTCTAAAACGGAGGTGATTGAAAGCTACAGTCAGAGGAAGTTTTCGTAGAGAGAAGAGATCATCTAGCGCGGCTTAGCACCGATTTATTGGAAAGACGTGCATGTGGCAGGTTCTGTTTTTCCATGGTTTATACACCTCCTTTTCTGCTCAGAGATCAAGAACATACGACTGTTCTTGCGCTTGATCACTCAGACGGGTGCGGTGAAGGTATGGAGGAAACATAATGACTATGTGGGGAAAATCAAGCCGAATGACTTCTATATAGACGTCTACTTGTGCTACATGGGATGGGGGTAGTGCTTCGACACTTCCGACTTCTCATCTCATTGAAGAAAGGAGCAGTAGAAACTCAAAAACTGACGATGTTTGGGCTGTTAAAAAGCTATTGTAGAGCAGTACAATCGGAAGTGTGCTGCTGTATGCGCTAGAAAGGTGAGCGTAAGATGCATCCCTTTTAGGGACGATGACTCTTTAGAATGTTTCAATAGACGTCAT